GGGTGGGGGGGGTGGGACTAGAAGACAGTACTGAAGGGGTTAAACAGGTTTTTGCTCCTTATGAATTTGTTTGCCTGGGCCCAGGATTGGAGGGCTTCACACCTATACCCTGTGTATACAAGAATCAGATTTATAATACTTCCCCCTTTTTTGTTACGTATGAACGCTATAAACCAAATTATTTTGAAAACTGGTGCATCACCTTGTCCTTAGCAATAAAATGTGTTGAGCAGAGGATTGGCTGTCTCTGCCCCAAGGAGCCCAAGTGGCCCAGGGTCAGACTAGGGATGTATCTAGACTCATAGGCTCTGGAACGGGGCTGTGTATTTTAAGACCAATCAGTAAGGCAAAATCAAGAATCCTATTCCATGGAGATGGGTTCCTTCCTTGCTAAGCTCTGTATTAGGCCAAGCATGGTATGGGGCTATGAGCACCTCTTTTTTTGTTTTTTTGCTTCTCCTACCTTGGAGATGGGCAGGAGGAGGTAATAATAGAGAAAGCACCAGACTGCTGAGTCCTCTCTACAGAGCTTGATCTCTCATTTGTGCCCCATTTAATAATCTCTTCATTGAGCTGGCCTAAGTCCATGCCAGCATCTGTGTGCTGTACTAGTGTGAAAGAGAGTGCATTTTAGGTGCTTGATGAGTGGGGGACTTGGCCCTAAGTGGGATCCCAATGGGGTCCTGATGTTGCACTCTGAGCTGTCTGGAGTTGGTGAGAAGCTTCCCTGGAGGAAGACCAAATGCCCTTCACCTGGTGGGTCCCTGAGGTTGAGGTGGACAAAGATGGGGAGCCACAGGACAGGGAGGGGGCAGTGGATAGGTGCAGGATTTGGGTGCTCCAGAGCCACTCCAGCTGGCGCTCATCCCAGCACTTCCTGTGGCATTGCCTTGTCCAGGTACAGGAGAGGCTTGGGTCAGCTCAGCTACTCTGTATGCTTTGTGTCCCTGGGGATTGGGAGGTGGCTGCTACTTGGTATCTGATCGTGGGGGAAAAGGAGCAGCAGCAGATTTCAAAGATGCTGTTCTACACCAACTCCCTCCTGGGGCCAAGAAAGGGAAGTTAACATTTTGCCTCAGGATGTAGCAGAGGAGGCTAGACAGAGCTAGGCCCTAGTGGTTTGGTGAGTGAGCCCTGGGAGCACATTTTTGGAGTGAGGAACATTTCCCTAGCCTATTTGCACAGTGTCCCTGCCTCTCACTGACCCAGCCTTGCGGAAGGACCTGTAAGGCTGGGTTCCTGGTTTAATCCCAGCAGGGTGAAACTTGCAATTTTTACTTTGGTCAGTGCAACAGCCCTGATGAAATGGAAACTCAGAGGTGATGGATCTTTCTCAAATCACACAGAACTGGCCTGTTCTCTGCCGGTGCCGCCCCCCCAATGTCCCGTTGTGTCCCGTCCCCCCCCACGCCCCCGCCGACTGCCAGTTCAGTCAGGTCCAGGCCTCAGACAACTGACCCCAGCCAAAGGCCTCCCCATCTGTCAGACCTCCTGCCTTTGGCAGGCTCCTCCTTCCCTTAGTGAGGTATAGTCTTGGGGCTGGCATCCAAGAATTGCAGCTTGAAGACCCTCTGAGAAGACCCTCCGCCCCCCGAAGTGTTTAAGTTGCGCCCCAGGCGGGTATTACCAGGGCTCAGTCAGTTGCACGGGGTGGAGGGGGATGAGCTGCAAAGGGTAGGTGGGGCAAGGTGGGCGTGTTCCCGGACTAAAAATTTGCCGCGAGGCTCTGGAGTTAATGCACAAAAGCAGCCTGGACCCCACAGGACTGGGCAGGGCCCGCGGAGCTCCAAAGTCTTGAGTCTCGAGGAGCGGACTGGCAGGGTTCACGACCGGGAGGGAGATATGAGGCGTCCCTCTATGTAGTGACCGTGGCCGCTCTGCACTCCCCACACCAACGAGGAAAGTCGCCCTCAGGGCAGGCCAGAGCGAACGGCGCCCTCTGGACCGTGAAGCCGGAGAGGATTCCTCTAGACAGTGGACGAGCCCAGGAGAGGCCCAGGCGAGGGTGTCG